TCGCGGGAATATAGATTTCTTCCATGATTTAAATTCGAAAGCTTCGCGAAACACGAAACAGGGAAATAATTGAAGAGATTAATCCGTGGATCGACGAAGCAGAAGGAATTACGCAATCGCGATTATGCGATAGCACTTTCGCGTTAGACGAATCGCGTAGAAAGGAGAAACAAGAGCAGAGGACAATAGCGGCAGATTAAATACGGACACGCGGCACGAAGAAAAGTTAGCGTCGATGAAAGCCTGGCGTAGCCGGAGGGGTGAATTTCTCGGCTACTTGGCCAAGCGTGCAACCGGTTGCTCGCAATATTCTCGACGAGCGGCTGGAATATTCCGCGAGACGGCGAGAGAAAGGCAGGAGGAAGGAAATAAAACGCGACAGCTTATTTACGCAGGCGAGCAGGCACGAGCGATTCCACGAGCGAAGAAATAGGCGGTGGTTCTGTTTCGCCGTCTAGTTACAGTCTAGTTGCTGTCAGGATGAGACGTAAGCACGTTTTCCCACGATTTATTACCGAAAGAACTCACGCGATTATGGTAAACGCGATGATTACCCAAAACATCCACTGACGCAATAGTGCATCCTAATAGTCGCGTAAAAAAAAAAGGAAGCAAAAAAAGGAAGCAAATTCCTGGCTGAAGAATTCGCGTGTAAATTTGAAGAAATTATGCGAAACTTTGTATCTGTTGAGTGGTTCTAAAGACAGTTTCGTTGAGATGTTGGTCGAGGAGGCCATGTAACGTAAAAAAAAGCCCGGCTATTATCGTGGCGAACGAAAGGCGCGAAACAGAGCCGTTCAATGCACGACACGGTATTTCGAGCATCGGCATCGTTCGAACGCCCGAATATTCGAAATAGCCGAAGGCTCGACAGCCAGAAGGAGGGTGGAGACGAGAAATGAAAGAGAGCACCGGGGTATACCCACCTAATCGTATTTCGTAATAACGTGGAGAGTGAGTGCGCTCGCGCGCCTGCCCCGTGATAAATAAAGAGCGTAAGAAATACCATTAGGGAGGCTCCGTTCTATCTAGCAAAGCACACGTATGTAACCCTTCGGCTGGTTTGTGTACGAGTCGCGCAGGCACAGAGACGACGACGCGAGAAATTTCGTTGCCGCGGAATTTAGATGAAATTGCGCGAATTACTTGAGCGCCCGGCGCGCGCGCGCGCGCGTGCATACATGGTCGGCTTCCTCCTCTTTCTCTTCCTCTTCCTCTCCCACTTCCTCTTCTTCTTCCTCTTCCACTTCCTCCTCCTCTTCCTGCTCCGGTAGGCCAGCGCGAGCGCAAGCTCGAATCGTCTCGCGTTGCGCGCGGAGGAACACCTGCGAAAATTCTGCGCGTACCGGAGCATAGTCCTCCTCGCGAGTAGATCGCTGTGGAACGTGTGTAGCTCTGTTCCTCGCGAGCCACCGGTCCTTTGCGATAAATCGCCATCGTGCTCGATCGATTCTCCCCGCCGCTAAATTGGGGGTAGAGATTCTCTCTTCTTCCTTACCGTAGCGAATTCTATATCTTCTTACATCTATTTGCGCGTAATCTATAGGTACTTGAAATCGATTCGGGATGGACGCAACTCATCTGCGAAATCTGAAAAAAAAAAGAAAAAAAATAATTTTACTTCGGTTAATTGAGCTGCGTTTAAAGCTCGAATCAGACGAGATCACACGCGACAGGCGTCGATAAATAAATGTTCGTAAACGTAACGAGTAACCCGTTATTATGACTGGTGTCACCCTACTCCGAGTAAACCCAACACCCGAGTACTCTTTCGCTTCCTCTCCCCCGTTCGTCACGGCTCGTCTCTCCCTAACTTTGCTTCTCTCGTGGCGTACAGCAAACCAGCGTGACGTCAATGCGGAGATTCGTCAAATGGAATTCCGCGGCGTGATCATTTTTACGCTCGGCGATGCGGTCGATGTCGCGGCTGCCACGAGTCTCCTTCGCGTTCCCGGAGGAAAGTACCCCCCTCGGGCACGATTGGCGTCGTCTACGCAAGAAATTCGTATATCGCGTGGTATTTCACGTATTGTGCGGCAAATTTTGGGATTCGAGGGACGCAATAATTCTCGGTTTCTCGTTGTATGAAAGAAGAACGGGAGAACGGAGAGGAGGATGACTAGTCGTTGGTTCTGGTTGGTCCGCGGAACGCAGACTCGATATCCGTGCGGCACGGGCCGCTCGTATGAAAGACGACGAATTCGCAACCCTCGTAATACGAGTCCTCGTAAAGTAGCATTCCCTTGTAAGTCCTTCTGTCGGCCGGTTGACTACCATCTACGGCTTTCTATTATGCATGCGTCCCTTATTGGCAGTAAACGTGCTCACCCTCCTTCCCAGCCACCCCACCCCGACGGAACCGAGCGTTCCGTTCCGCTCCACCCGGAATTACGGCCGTAAGCATATTTCTAATTATAACGTCGCGAGGAAAGGCCTCACGGACAGACGGAGAATCTCATAAATT